CACACGCGCACGGTTTTAGCGAGTCTGACACATCAAGTTCTTCAGACCGGTCGAAATCACTTGTGGGACATCACTTCATTTGCGGCGTCGGGACAGCGAGGGAAACGGAGAGATATGCCGAGAATGTAATGCCACTCCATGATGCCGCAGGCTGGCGGCGACAAGTAGCAGAGAGATTCTACTCAACGTTGAGAAGACGGCAGCGCTCTGATGATCCGGCTTGCTCTTTAGGAACTTGTAATGTAGTGTGCACCGTGTGGGCCTTCTTGCTGCGAATATGCAGAGGGGTGATGTGGGGTGGAATTATTGTTGAAGGCAGCACGGACACCGCAAAGCCTTTATTGGAGGGATGAGTGCTGTTATTCCGTGCTTCCTTGCCTGCGTTGTCGCACTCATGCTGTGAGTGCGGATGGCCACAGTAGTGGAGCTGAATACGGTTCAATTTGTGTTGCTCACGGGGACTGCGCGACACATGTTTTTTCTTGGGTTTCCCAAAAGGAGGGGCGCATCGCCGTTGCGTGCTTCCCGCGGCAGTCCATTACCCTGCGACTGTGCGTGCCGCCGTCCGCTGCGCCACTGCAAGCCTTCGCCTTTGTGAGAAATGGGGAGCGTGACTGCTGTGGCGGTGGTCGAATGCTCCCGAATTGGTGCTTTTGGTGATCCCACTTAGAGCGCCGAGCAGCGAGGGGCCGCACACGCCCAGGAGGTTGGAGTGTCAGCTGCAACCGCACCTGCGATTTGTAGTTGGGATGTGACATGTTTCTTTGGTATTTTTATTTTTGGTGATATACGGGGCAGCGGTGTGTTGGCGTGTGCGGGCTGCTCATGGCTGCTGGTGTTGCCTTTCCTGCTTTTCTCCCGCTCAGCTCCTTTGCGTGCGACGGACCAAACGTTTTTACAGGCGTGTGGTGGGGCCACGTTCTTGTTTGGAAAAAAGCCTTTCGCAAGGTATAATGATACTGCCGCCCGTGCCACACGAGGCAGTGGGGAGTTTCCTGGGATTTATTGGCGGGGTGGCACCGCACTCATGCCGTGTGGTTGATTTGTATTCCGCAATGCACGGTGAGGGGGATGTGCGGTGACAACTTCCTCCAGTGAAGCGACACGAGCAGCACGGGGAGCGGAACGGAGGAGTGGTGGCTGCGTGCTTCCAAGTGATACGTGAATGGCGAATGCAATATGAAAGGCAGCGTCACGGCAATTTTTTGCGACACGCGCATTGTAGATATTTTCCATAAAGCATGCAAATTGCACTTTTTTATGTTGTGTGTGAACTTACCGTGATGCATCGCCGTTGTGGAGTTTACGATTTGGGGTTCTTGCGTGTGGCCGCTTGTGCACCGAACTCTCCTCCCACTTTTGTGTGTTTGTGTCAGTGGCGATGTGCCCATGTCCTCTTGCAGAGTGTGTGCGGTGGTGGCGGTGCCACAGGGGTGCGGGGCCGTGGCGAACGGAATGCGCGGACGAACCCTCCGTGCGCACCACGTTGTTATTATTGTTTGCGCTTTAAAACACTGTGCTGGGTGAATGTCACCCACTTGCCGTCGTTGTGGTGGTCCTCGTGCATGTGGTGTGCATCACACACTGTGTGGATGACTCTATTGCTGTGGCTGTCAGTCATGCCTGTGACCTTTGTTTCTTACTCTTATTCCTTTTTTTGTTTGGTGGTTAGTGTTCGGCTTTAACTCAATCCAACTACGAAAACAGGTATATAATCGATTCTCACGCAGAAGTGAACAATAAATCGTCTTCTCTCAGGTGAGGAATTCGACGAAGGTGGCTGAAGGATGTACGTGCTGAAGGGATGCTACGAGTCTGTGTACAATGCGAAGTGGCATCATGTCGTGGAAGTTCCTGGCGGCGAGGGGACGGGAATGGAAGTGAGAGATGGGAACCACAGCAGTCATGGACGTACGGGGAAGTTGGCTACACTCGCGAAAAGGATGGCGGTGTGCAGCAGTCCAGTGCAGCGCGTCTCAGGCTGATGGTGCTCACCTCGGACAAGGAATGGCCGTACACGTGGGCGGGGAGTGAACATATTTTTGACTGCTGTGTGAACTGTGAGGTGGATCGAGTGTGGCAGATCGTCAAGGGCGGTCTAACCGAATTGCTCAGCACTCACCCTGGGGCCTACTTTAAGCCCAAGCGACGTGTGTTGATTGGGACGCCCGGGATCGGGAAGTCGGTGAATGACGGCTCGTACCTCCTCTACCAGCTGCTGCACTGCGATGTGGAGGAGCTCCAAGTGGTTGTCCACTGTTTTGGGGAAACGGCGTACGTGTTTGACAGGACCACCAAAACGGTATCAAAATACGATATTAATGAAATGTCGAGGAGTGTTATCCCGAGTTTGTGGAAGCATGGGATGAAAGTGTATATTATTTACGATGTGGCAAAGGATGGTCGTAATCCGTCGTTTTTTTTGTTCCTTTCGAATGGGGCATGATTGTACTGACAACACCAAACGAGAATAACTTTGAGGGATGGAGGAGGCATAAGACAGCGGTGCCACTCATAATTAATTGTCCTCACAGGATTGATTTGAAGGCAATGTGCTTTTGGAGGAAGCACTTTCAGCCCACGGGGGAACAAGCGGAGGAACAAGCGATGAACCCAGCGCAATACTGGGAAAAGGTGAAGGAGCGCATGGATGAAGTGGGTCCGATCCCACGTTGTATCTTCAATCAGTTAGAATATAAAATTCAATTGTCCGAGATTGAAAAAGTCGTAAAACTTATTAAACCTTCTAATTCTACGGATTACATGGGTGTGGGAGGCGATAAAATTTGGATTGCTGAGTATGTTTCTCAAACAATCGTGAAATTTGTCCGAGTGCGAGAAGAGTCTGGAATCGAAGTAGGCTGCAACGCACCGGTCTCCCGTTCGGCCATGGTTAAGATAACTCAGCATCTAACAAATATGACGCCGCCGGTCGATGTTTTCAATCTGTTGCTGCGTGGCTCCCGTTTTTTTTTGTGGGTGGATTTAGAGCATTCAGGCACGGCCGCCTTTATGAATCCGCATGCCGTGGATATAATACAAAGAAACCTCACTGAGCTACAGCCAGAAGGACGAATAACGTCGCGGTCTTTGGTATTGAGAAGAAACCCTCGAGGTCACCCCACCCGCAGTGAAATATTACAAGAACTGGGTGACAACCCTGCCAGGATTAAGTAGGAGTGCGGGGTATTGTACCTACCGGCTGTCGGAAACTTTCCGCTGGTGGATGCCCTTTTCTTCATGGAGTCGCCGCGGAAAGCGCTGGTTGGGCTGCGGATGACTACGGCGGGTGAGCACCACACCAGAGCCAGCACTGCGAGGCAGTTCACTGAGTGCCTGGCGGCATATTTTGATGGTTGGGACGAGTTATCCCGAGACATGTCGTGGGAGATTATTTATGTGCAGCACGCAGACAGCACGCCGATGAATGATTGGCAGAGATGTGATGATTCGGCGAATTTAACGGAAGCTGAGAATCGTGAAATAGCGGCGTTCTGGGAGCAAAAGGTACACCAGTATCAAGTGACAGTAACAGCCGAAATGTTATGGCAAAACAGGCTACCTGAAGTCAGTGATAACTAAAGAAATGGGGAAAACGAATTGGGAAAGGGGCAACTTTTATTTCTGGTAAAGAAATATTGTGAGGTATATATATTTTTGGATACTTGTCTGTGTGTATACGTTGCGGGTGCACCAGCCCCAGGCGGCAGCACCACAAACAAGTGTTAATAATGCTCAACGCGCGTGATAATAGCATTGACCGACGAAATTAGGGAGGGAATGGGGTTGTTTGGCTTCTGGTGAAAACATTGGGTAATTTTAATATGGTATTTTGATTGTGTGTGCATACGGCTCAGGTGCGACAGTACCGAGCGGCATTATTGCATAAATTTGTCAAAAACGAGCAACGTTATCGATCATATCATTTTAAGAATAATAAAGAAAAGGAAAATTTCTGTTTATTGTGAAAAAAAGGTAATTTTTATAAATTCGTACACCTGTGTCCATATTAGGAACAATCGTATAATCGCTTTGTTATGAAAGAAATATTGCGTCTGGCGGTTTTTCGGTGCTAATGCATTTTCCATTTTCTCTTTTTTTTTTTTATGCCCATCAATAACGGAAGCATTTTCAAGGAATGGACGAAGGATAAGTTCTGAGGAAATGCCGCAATCCGTGTGACCGCGTGGAGTAAGGCGCCGCGTCATGGATGGGTGAGGATCCGCTTTCACGTGTGGCTCTTTGGGTGATTGCTCGCTCCGTGTGCGTTGTGTGTGCCGGCAGCGGGGCGGTGGCCGTGTTCCGTTGTCCGAGAGACTGAACTGGAGGCGGTGGTGGCGGTGTGTCGCTTCTTTTCTTCTTCCATTGGTGGGTGATTGCTGGCGGTGTGTGCGTTTGTTGTGTGGAGGGCCGAATCCTCTCACCCGCGGACTGACGGCACTGCGATGGTGTGTGTGTGTGAGGGCTGCTGTGGAGTTGCCGGCCAGGGTGAGGCCCTTGGCGATGCCTTTCCCGCCTGTCTTTTGTTTCTTCCGTGTGTGTTGTGCTGCTTCTTGCTTTTTCTCCTGTCATCCTCTCCTGCTGTGTTCCTGCGTGGAGTGGCCGCATGCTCACGAGCCATGTTGATTGTGAGTGCCTCTTGACGGCGTCCATTCATCTCTCTCCGCCTCTCTGTCTGTCTTTCCCTGTTGGGTGTGGCGTGTTGCACCGCGTGAGGGCTGGCCCGCACACACCGACGGCCCGCCGTGACTTGCCGTGTTGCTGCTCTTTTCCGTGGGCGATGGTCCTCCGTGCCGTCTCCTCCGGATTGTCTTGTGTCCCGCTCTCTGCGTGGGTGCTCTGCTCTAACCTCCGCTGACGTGTCTGATGTATTACCACTGTTGTTGTTCTCCCCAATTGAACACAGACACGCTAGGAAAATAAGCGCTAAACGCTACTGTGATATTCGAAGGCACTGAAAGGACCAACAGCACACACACCGCCCATACACACATATTTGTATGCTCTCACGTGTTGCTGCAGTGAAGGCACCCCGCACGCACAACCGTTGCGGCGTGACCGGATCCAGCGGAAGGAGGAGGGAAGGAAGAGAGAGTGAGCAGCGGAGGCCCAACATGCCCCGGCGTGTGTTTAATTCCACGGTGCTGCTCCTCCTCGTCGTGATGATGTGCTGCGGCTCCTGTGATGCTGCAGATGTTGTGGGGAGTAATTCGAGGAATGCGCAATTGCCTCATACGGTCGATCTATTTTTGCCGAATAAGACGCAGGTGGTTGCAAAAAATGGGTCTGCATGTGGAGTGAAATTTGCGTTCGTCTCACCGTCTCTTGTGAGTGCTGGTGGACTGATGATTTCCGTTGCCGAGGGTCGCGCCAAGTATAATGACCCCCACAAATCGGGCTGGCTTGATTCTTCTGATATTGTGGCGGGGTACATTGACGCTGCGGGGACGTGGCCGTCCATTGTCGCTGAGACCACTAAGACGGAATGGAGGGCACACACACAACGACACCCACACGATATATACATTGGTATGGTTGGCTGCTCCTCTCGCACTCTGTGCTGGCGGTTGCGTGTGGCTGCTGATCCCCGTTGTGTTTTTGATGGAGGAGGCGCGTGACGGCGTCGGTGAACTGGCGCCCCAGTGGGAGAGGGAAGGCACCGACCGCTGCTGACGGCGACAGTCTTTGCTGCAGGCGACCTGGCGGGATGACGTCACCGGTGCCACAGTTAACCGAGATGGATGTGGGCTGCACCTTCGCTTTTTCCCTTCTCTCCATCCTTTCAGTCTCCTGCAGATTGACGAACTGCGGGGCAGTGGCGTGATTAAAAACAGGACGTCTATGAGTCAACAGGCCGCACAATCGGTGTGGACCCTTTTCCCCCGTGTCTGAGTGCCGCCACCGCACTTCCTCACCCTTCCTTATTGTGTGTGTTGTGTGCGCTTATGATACCGCTGCTTCTATTCCTTTTCTGACCAAGCAGTTAGAGATACTTTGGCTTGACCAGCACAACTATCGTTTCAAGGTGTTAGGAATTAATTGCTGTATTAGGATTGGTAGTAGTGGGATAACGATCTGGCGGAATTGTGTCTCTGGATTTTGCATTTGTAGAAAGGGATTTGCTAGACAAAAGTTACGGTCGACGGGGCGAGTGCGATACGCCACGACAGCTTTATTGGTACCTGTCTGGGTCGGTGGATGCGGTCTGTTGTGGGTGCGTGTCCGCGCAGCCGGCACCGTGTGCGGCGCAGGGCCATTGCGGCTGTGCGTGGGGCGCTGTTTTTGGTGTTGGCGCTGGCTGCTGCTGCTGCGTGGATGCCCGCGGTGCATGCGGTGGTGTTGCGACTGCGGGGCGGCACGGTGGACAGAGCCATCACGGTTGGCCGCGCCGTGGACACGGTGCTGATGGACGGCGTGTCCATCACGAACGGCGTGGCTGTGGTGTTCGACGTGCCGGCGATGCTTCCCGGCACACTGCGCATCGAACTGAGGAACTGCGTGTGCGACGGCGGTGCGCAGATCCACGTGCGGGGCTACAGCGGCGAGGCGGCGAGTGACCGGAGCCTGGTGGTGAGTGTGAGCGGGCTGTCCGGGAGCTACTGCTCGCTCGTGTTTGTGCACAACCTGCCGGCACACACGAACGTGACGGTCCGTGACTCGACGATTGTGACGGCGGGGCCGATGCGCTACTCGCAGCTGAGCGGGCT